CACCAACAGGCATGGGCATGATCTGAGTGCAGAGCCAAGAGTAAGCCCTGAGTAGCAGCAGGCATGGCTATATAACACACACACACACACACACACACACACACACACACACACACACAGTGCAGCACACACAGCTTTTCACTGATGTCTAGATTTAGAAATCTCTTCATTTGACTTGGAGCACAAACTGACTTCCTTGTAGGGAATTGTGGACCTGGGGGAATACAGAGGAGTCAGGAAGAAAGTAGAAATGATTAGATAAGAAAAAGTCGGGGAGGGACCTGAGCACCGGCCAGCACATCAGCCAGCAGCTCTTGGTCTGCGAACTGAAGCCCACGTTTTCCTGCTGCTCTATTTCCTCCTCCCCAGCTTCCAGCATTCCTAAGGCCGCCCCTTCACCTCCCAGGAAGCTGCCCGCTGTGGGGCCTGCAACGCCCAGCAGACCTTTCATCAGACAGGAACCAGGCGACAGACCTAGCTCTTTGACGGTCTTTCTTTCTTTCTTTCTTTCTTTCTTTCTTTCTTTCTTTCTTCCTTCCTTTCTCTTTCTTTCCTTCCTCCCTTCCTTTTCTTCTTTCTTTTTTTCTCCTTCCTTCCTTCCTTCCTTCCTTCCTTCCTTCCCTCCTTCCTTTCTTCCTTCCTTCCTTTTCTTGCAGTCCGAGGGCTCGAACCCAAGAGTTCATACATACAAAGCACATACTCCCCCACTGAGCCACATCCCCAGGCCCCAAACTCTGGTCAGAGTTTAAAGTTAAATATTATGCACCTGGTGGAGCTCTTTTTTTTTCTCCAAAATAATTCATGCAGGGCCAGAGTGATAGTACAGCTAGTAGGGCGTTTGCCTTGCACGCTGCCAACCTGGGTTTGATCCCTGGCTTCCCATATGGTTCCCCCGAGCACTTCCAGGAGTAATTCCTGTGTGCAGAACCAGGAATAACCCCTGAGCATTGGTGACTGTGATTCAAAAAGCCAAAAAAAAAAAAAAAAGAAGTTTTTTTTTGGGGGGGGGGGGAGTCAGAGATGACAGATATTTATGTGACTGAGACAAAAACAGGGCAGACAGCAGGGAGCAAGCTGCAGGGATGGCCAGGCCCCTGCCCGGTGCACGAGGCTGTGTGTGTTCCCAGGGATGAGGTTGAGAGAGAGGTGCCCAGGAGGCCCGCAGAGTCCTTCCTGGTTCCCAGCTAGATGGGACTTCAGCTAGTGATGACCAGCAGTCCCCAGAGAAAGACTAACCAGACAGCGGGGCAGCTGCCAGTCTCTGATGAAGGTGGATGCACCTAATCTCCAGAGCACTTTTGGGGAGCACCCCCATATCTGTTCCCATAGCTGCTGAAACATTAAGGGAAAGGATGGCCTTTTTTTGTTTTCTTTTTGGGTCACACCCAGTGATGCTCAGGGGTTACTCCTGGCTCTACCTCAGGAATCACTCCCGGAGGTGACTGGGGGACCATATGGGATGCCGGGAATCGAACCACGAACCACGGTTGACCACGTGCAAGGCAGAGGCCCTGCCTGCTCTATTACCACTCTGGCCCCAAAAGGATGGGCTCAAGTCTAAGCAGCTTACAGAGAGAATCACTTCCTTAAACCTCACTCGCATAAATTTCTCACTGTACCACGTTGCCTTTTTCCCTCATGAATCCAGGAAGTTCGTATTTAGAAAGTCTTTTAGAACAGATTCTTGTTAACGTGGAATCAGGTGAGACACGAGGGAGTGCCCAGACTAAGGAACTCAAGGGCTGATTTGAATTTGGTAGGGGGAAGGGAGGGTGAATGGGCCCTCAGGGAAGAGCAAAGGACTTCAGGGCTGAGGAATGCCCCTGGGGGATGCAGGGAAAGTGGCTCTTCTAGGAGCAAAATTTTTGCCTGGGTGTGGCCTCCTGGAGAGAGAGACCTGAGATCCTGGGAGATCCTGAGAGTCTTCCGGATGCTCTACATTCAGGCAGGTCAGAGGTTTCTAGAATGCCTTGAGCTGCAAAGAATCTTTTTTTTTTTCTTTTTAGGTCACACCCAGCGATGCTCGGGTGTTACTCCTGGCTCTGCACTCAGGAATTACTCCTGGTGGTGCTTCAGGGACCATATAGGATCCTGGGGATTGAACCCAGGTTGGCCTATGCAAAGCAGATGCCCTACCCGCTGTACTATCGCTCCAGCCCTGAAAATAATCTTGTTTTGTTTATTGTTTGGGGGTCACAGCCAGTGGTGCTCTGGGCTGACTCCTGGCGGTGTGTGCACTTGGGGATCGTAGCTGGGAATCGAACCTAGGCCAGCCACATGCAAGGCAAGTACCCTGCCCTCTGTACTATTTCTCTGGCCCCCAAAACAAATTATTATGCATGTGCAAACAGGTGTATGTTAGTATGGCATATCTTGGCCTCCAACACCACTCATAAAACTCATTTGAAGGGTCAGGGAGAGAGTGCATCTTGCATCTCTCATCTTGCATCTTGGTAGGGTGCTTTTGCCTGGTGTGCAGCTGGCCCGCTTCGATCCCCAACTTCCCATACGGACCCCAGAGCCCACCCAAGCCCTGAGCACTTGCCTGGGTATGGCTCCACAACAACAACAACGAAAAACTTACTGAGATTGGGGAGAGCTCAGGAAGAACACAAGCCGGAAGGGTGGGTTCCATCACCTTAGCACCCAAGAAACTGGTGACCTCTCAGCACTGTGCTGGGTTAGCCCGAGTCTGTAGCACAGCACCAAAGCGAGCATGTTCTTAGCGTTTATGGAATCAATCAGAGTTGCGAAGCCTCACCCGAGACAGCCCAGAGCAGCAGACGCATGCAGTTGGAATGCCCTCGAAAGGGCTTCCAGAAACTTTTTGTCCAGTTCTTCACAAATAAAAATGGTGCAAAGAAAGACTAAGCAAGAGAGCAAAGAAACAGAAACGCTCCTTTGTCTGAAGATCCTATCACAGGAGGTTTGGTCAGGAGATAAAGTGGACTTGGTGGGTGGGGCTAGGGCAGTGATTTTTGAATTTAAAAGAATGAATAGGGGTTCTTGATGTAGATTGAGAAATGGGAGTTTCTTAAGTAGAAAACAGAGTTGGTAAAGGAAGGCACCGGAGTACAAACAAAGCATTCATGTTATAGAAAGGAAAAAGCTAATCCGATTACACTCAGTAGGTGAGGTGAGCTGGACAGGAAAGGGAAATACCCATATTTCAATCATAAGACAAAGATCATAGCCAAATCATAGCCAATCATAGCTAAAGCGAACAAAACAGAAATAAATTAGGTTCAAACAACAGAATAATGTGCCAAGAACCTGGGTGGGGGGGGGGGGAGTGGGGAGAGAGAGAGAGAGAGAGAGAGAGAGAGAGAGAGAGAGAGAGAGAGAGAGGACAATGAGGCAGCCCAAAATAGGAAACTAGAGTTCAAAATTAAGTTGGGGGGGGTCTACTGGATGGATAGTCTAGTGGGACAGGCGTTTGCCTTGCACATGGCTGACTTCGGTTCAATCCCTGGTATTCCATACGGTTCCCCAGAACTTAACTAGGCTTGATCCCTGAGTGCAGAGTCAGGAGTAAACCCTGAGCAGTGCTTGGTGTGGTCCCCAAACGAAAAACAAAACCAAGTGAAGTTGGGGAGAGAAGTCCAGACATGAGAACTGTCCCAATAGAAGTGTTGGTCGAAACAGGGGAGCAAATTTGAATACTGAAAGCATCTTTGATGCATATTATCTAATATGGTGTTAATTTTTCTCATTGAACTTCATGCCTGCTTGTTGGAAAAACTGGAGGAGATTAGGAGGTCGGAGGAGGAGGAACTGTTTCTTCTCCCTGCTTGTTTTCTAGCGCCTGGCACAGTGCCTGGCGGGTGAGCTCAGTCAATATTTGCTGAAGGAAAAGAACGTGCCAAGAAAGCGGGAAGGGAGAGGGGGTGGCCGAGGCCCAGAGGATCATACACAGAATTTTCCCGTTTTGATTGACACGGCACTAACGGCTTTGGAAGAAGCGTTTGATGAGCTGTGAGCATCCCAAGATTGAAGATGGAGTTAAGATCTGAAGTGGAGAGAACGTTGGGAACAGCTGCAGTTAGATATGTGCTGGGGAGGACAGGCACGCTGGCCTCTCAGTGCCCTTGGGTTTTTCTGGAATGTTCCCTCCTGCCCTCCTCTTCTGCTCGCTCCACTCTGAGTGGACTCGTCTTTCAAAGCTTAGCTCAAAGGCGGCTGACTTATCTGGGACATTCAGATATTATTACAAGCCAGGGGTGTGGCTCGGCAGAGGACACAGACCTAGTATTTGAGAGGTGGGGTTCAATCCCCAAAATGGCTCCACTCAAATCCTGGGTCGGGTCTCTGTCTGAGGAAGGGGGATAAGGACCATTTGAGACTGTGTGAGAAGTAAACTACTTGTAAAAGGATGGATCACGAGGCCAGAGAAATTGCTTCCTAGGCTAGAACACATGCTTTGCCTGCAGGAGCTCCTGGCTCAGTCCCCAGCGCTACACAGTCCCCTGAGCACCATTAATAGTGACCTCCCAGGGAATCAGGGGCTGGCAAGATAGTACAGTGGCTAGGGTGCTTGCCTTGCATGAGTCTGACTTGGGTTCAATCCCCAGCACCCCATAAATTCTCCTGGAATCCTGCCAGGAATAATTCCTGTGTGCAGAGCCAGGAGGAGGCGCTGAGCACCGCTGGGGAAGGAAGGGAGAGAGGGAGGGAGGGAAGGAATAAGGAAGGAATTGAGGGAGGGAGGGAGGGAGGGAGGGAGGGACTGAGGGAGGAATGGAGGGAGGAAGGAAGGAAGAGTCGAGAGAGGGAAGAGGAGGGTGGATGGAGTTTGGGAACTCTGGTGGAGGCAAGTTGACACTGGTGATGGGATTGAAATATTGTATGCCTAAAACTCAACAATAGAAAACTTTAAAAATCACAGTTCTTTAAATTTAAAATACTTTAAAGAAGAAAGAAAATGGTTCTTCCTCATCTCCACCAGTGGAAGAGGAAGGCTGAGAGCCACTCAGCCTGACCTGGCCTCGGTTTACCCGCAGGTGATCACTTACTCCAGCCGCCATGTCTACAATAACCTGACCGAGGAACAGAAGGGCCGAGTGGCCTTTGCTTCCAATTTCCTGGCCGGAGATGCCTCCCTGCAGATCGAGCCCCTGAAGCCCAGTGATGAGGGCCGCTACACCTGCAAGGTGAAGAACTCGGGGCGCTATGTGTGGAGCCACGTCATCTTAAAAGTCTTAGGTAAGATCGGATCCAGAGGATGTAAGACCCTTTATGACTAAGGTCCCTGGGAAGGATGGACAGATACTTTGCGGAGTCAGAGAATCCTTGTTCAGGATCCAGAAGTGATAGTACAGTGGTGAGTGCTCACCCTGCATGCAAACAGCTCAAGTTCGAGCCCTGGCACCCTACTAGGATTTCCCCAAGCCCCTCCAGGAGTGATCCCTAAGCGCAGAGCCAGGAGTAAGCCATGAGCTCGGCCAACTGTGGCTCAAAAAAAATAAATAAATAAAAATAAAAAGACTTCTTGTTCAGTACTTTGTATTATACATTCAAAGTTTACCTCATCCAATTCCTTAGGAAAAGGAATTGGATATAAGTTTTGTATTGTAGCCACGGTGAAAGAAAACAAAATAGCAATTTTCCATGATGGCCCATTATAATATTAAATTTTACCTAATATTTGGAGTATGTCCTGATATTTAACTTAAATTTCAAAATGGTTGGAATTAATTTCTGTCTATTGACAGCAAGAGCTAAGTTCTACTCTCCTTTTTTTCTTCTTTTGGTTTGTTTTGGTGGCATACCCAGCAGTGCTCAAGAGTTACTCCTAGCTCTGCACTCAGGAATTACTCCTGGAAGTGCCTGGGGGACCATATGGGTGCAGAGGGAATCAGCTGCAGGCAAGGCAAACACCTTATACACTGTACTATATCTCCAGCCCCTAAATTCTACTCTTTTTTTTCTTTCTTTCTTTTGCTTTTTGAGTCACACCTGGCAATGCTCAGGGATTACTCCTGGCTTGTGCATGACTCAGGAATTACTCCTGGTGGTGCTCGGGGGACCATATGGGATGCTGGGAATCGAACCCAGCTCGGCCACGTGCAAGACGAATGCCCTACCCACTGTACTCTATCTGCAGCCCCTAAATTCTACTTTCATTGCTTCCAAATTTTACTAATATTTCAGTATTAGTAAAACCACACTTAATTTTCCTAAAATTTCCAATTAAACAACAGACCCTCAACTTCGAGAAGCAATAAGGGAAATTTTCTCAGACAGCTTCTGCAAATCGCGACATCATCATCAGAAGGGACTAGAAGTGGGTGAATGTGTGTGCAGAGGATGGGGGAGGAGTGCATCTCTCAGGGTGACGTGAGTGATGGCTCTACTGCAAAAGGTTGGAGATTCCCCCCCAGCAGTTGAGCTGAGTGGGTAGAAATGGGGAAACAACTCAACAGGTCATCATTATCCATTGACTCTGCCTTTGGGGGAATCTTTGAAACTTTGCCTTTTCTTTTGACAGTGAGACCATCCAAACCCAAATGTGAGCTGGAAGGAGAGCTGACGGAAGGCAGTGACCTCACTCTGCAGTGCGAGTCATCCTCAGGCACCAAGCCCATCGTGTATAACTGGCAGCGGGTCCGAGAGAAGGAGGGAGAAGATGAACATCTACCTCCCAAATCTCGGATTGGTGAGTCATCACTTTCTGCTGGTCCATTGAGACAGGACAACAGTATTCTTTTCTTTTTTTAATTTTTTTTAATTGAGTCGCAGTGACAAACATATTTACAAAGTTGTTCATGACTGGATTTCAGTCATATAATATTCCAACGCCTGTCCTTTCACCAGTGTACTTTTCCCATCACCATTGGTCCCAGTTTCCCTCCCGCCCTCGCATTTTTCTTGTCTCTTTCTCTCTCTCCTTTTGGGTTTTATAGTTTGCAATACAGGTCATGAAAAGTTATCAGGTATATCCCTTTATCTACTTTCAACACTCAGTTCCTGTCCAAAATTATCATTTCCACCTATTATTGTCATGCTGATCCCTTCTTTATCCTAACTGCCCCACTCTTGTGGCAAGCTTCCAACCATTCACTGACGAGTCCTCCTGACCCGTTTTACCCTCACCTTGGATATTAGTCTCATATTATATATCACATATATAATATATAATATCCCACAAATGAATGTAATCATTCTATACCTGTCCCTCTCCCTCTGACTCATTTCACTCAACACGATACTCTCCATGTCCATTCACTCATAAGCACATTTCATGACTTTATTCTTCCTCACGGCTGCATAATATTCCATTGTGTAGATGTACCATAGTTTCTTTAGTCAGTCATCTGTTCTCTTGGGTACTTGGGTTGTTTCCAGATTCTGGCTATTGTGAATGGTGCTGGCTACTCTGGCTATTGTGAATCGTGTTGGAATGAACATAGAAGTGCAGATGGTTTTTCTGCTGTGTGTTTTTGGGCAGGCAGGATATATTCCCAGATGTGGTATTACTGGGTCAAAGAAGAGTTCAATTTCTAGTTTTTTGAGGAATGTTCATATTGTTTTCAAAAAAGGCTGGACCAGTATTCTTTCCTTTTTTTTTAAAAGGCTGGACCATTTCGCATTCCCACCAACAATGAAGGAGAGTCACTTTCTCCCCACATCCGCAACAGCACTGGTTGCTCTTGTTCTTTTGGATGCATGCCAGTCTCTGCGGTGTAAGATGATATCTCATAGGACAACATACTCTTATCTGTGGGTTCTAAGAGTTTGCCAGCAGCTCCCTAAGACCTTGAATATACTTTGCATTTTCATTCATAAACTATTACAAAAAAAACCTGTCCTTTCCATCCTCAAATGGTAAGCAAAAGTGGTGAGATTAGGAAAAAATAAACTTTGTTTATCATTTAGGTTTTTTTTGGGGGGGTCATGTAGTTTTAGGGATTGAACCCAGGATCTTGCATTTCACAGTAAGTCCTCTAGCAGGGCCTCTTTGTTTCTGCTTGTCACCACCCGAGAAGGCTTCACACACTCGCAGGTAAATATAATAGGTGTAAAAATAGCCATTTGCAAGGCCAGAGTGATCATACAGTGGGTAGGGCATTTGCCTTGTAAGCGGCTGACCCGTTCAGTCCCTGGCATCCTATATGGTCCCACAAGCACTGCAAGGAGTAATTCCAGAGCACAGAGCCAGGAGTAATCCTTGAACACCGCTGGGAGCGACACAACAAACAAATCAAAACAAAAAGACCAAACTTTTCTTACATTTTAGGCTCATGAGATCACGCAGTGCTGTGACAGAACCTGGGCCTTCTGCTGCCACATACTTTAAGCCCATTAAGTCGTCTGTCTGGCCCTAAATCAAAGTTGTAAAAAGTTATGGGGTCAGGACCGAGTTTAAGAAGTTAGGCTCAACCACTTAGCCACATCTCTGGTCCCTAAAGGATTCACTATTTATTTTCGGTTGGTTGGTTTATGAGCCAACCTGGCAGTGCTCAGGGGTCACTCCCAAGGATGTTCAGGGGTGCTGGGAATTGAACCCAGCTCCTCCATTTTATTGGTTCTGTTTCGTTTTGAGGTCACACACAACAGTGCTCACGGTTATACCCCACCCAGTCTTCAGGGTTCACTCCTGGCGACACGACTCAGGGAACCACATGGTGGTAGGAATCAAACCAGGGCCTCCTGCATGCAAAGCTTATGCTCAGATCATTGGGCTCTCTCTCTGGACCCTGAAAGTTTTTAAGAGCTCAAGGGGGCTGGAGCAATAGCACAGCGGGTAGGGCGTTTGCCTTGCACGCAGTCGACCCGGGTTCGATTCCCAGCATCCCATATGGTCCCCCGAGCACTGCCAGGAGTAATTCCCGAGTGCAGAGCCAGGAGTAACCCCTGTGCATCACCAGGTGTGACCCAAAAAAAATCAAGGGTTAGCAGGCCAGAGGAATAGTACAGAGGGCAGGGCATCTGCCTTGCACAAAGCCAACCAGAGTTCAGTTCCCTACATCCCATACGATTGCCTGAGCACCACCAGGAGTAATTCCTGAGTACAGAGCCAGGAGTAACCTCTGAGCATTACCTGGTGTGGTCCCCAAGTAAACAAAACCAGAAAAAAGTTTAAGGTCGGTCACAACTATACAACTAAGATAGGTTATACAAGGGCAGCCATTACAACTAAGATAGGTTATACAAGGGCTCTCTACAGTTTAAGTGCTGGAGAGGTAGTTGAAGGCTTAAAGCACTATGACCTGTGGTCCCCCAGCATTGCCCAGAGTGGACCCTAAACACAGGGCCAGGAGCTACCTGTGAGAAACGCCAGATGGGAAAACAAACAAACAAAAAGGCTCATACTTTCTTTCCACATTCCAAAAATGTTTTCATTCTATTATCATCTCTTCTGACTAGGAAGAGCATCTCAGGTCAGTGAGAAAATAACAGTTAATACTCGCCCTAAGGAGATCCCATTCTTTCTGCTCCGCAGACTACAGCCACCCGGGGCGCGTCCTGCTGCAGAATCTCACTATGTCCTCCTCCGGCCTGTACCAGTGCACAGCAGGCAACGAGGCGGGCAAGGAGAGCTGCGTGGTGAGAGTGACCGTGCAGTGTAAGTATCCGAGCGGGTGGGCTTGGCTCTGGTTTCACACCATGCTACAGTGTAAAACCTGTTTAATCATGAGCAAGACTAAGTCAAGGGCCAAATCTTCATTTCCAGAACCTCAAGGCGACCATTCAAGTTAGTTCATTTTCACGAACGTTTCAACAGTTTTACCTGTGTTTGTATAGACGTGCTTGGTCGCCAATTCCCAGAAGCTCCCTTCACTAGGATATCAAGCGGGATCCAATGGAGATCTACTTCATAAATCTAAAAGGGAATTTCAATGCTGTTTTCAGAGCTTTGCCTGTCTTGTCTGCTATTTTTTTTTTTTTTTTTTTGCCTTTGTGGGTCACACCCGGTGATGCACAGGAGTTACTCCTGATTCATGCACTCAGGAATCTCTCCTGGTGGTGCTCGGGGAACCATATGGGATGCTGGGAATCGAACCTGGGTCGGCTGCGTGCAAGGCAATCACCTTACCTGCTGTGCTATTGCTCCAGTCCCCCTTGTCTGCTGTTTCTTAAAAAATATTAATAACCAGGGGGCCAGAGAGATAGTGTAATGGGTAAGGTGCTTGCCTTACACGCAGCCAAACTGGGTTCGGTCCCTGGCACACCACAGGGTCTCCTAAGCACTGCCAGGAGTGATCCCTGAGCACAGAGCCAGGAGTCAGTCCTGTGCACAGCCGGATGTGGACCAATAAATACATAAAAAAAATTCCAGGGCCAGTGAGATGGCAGAGTTGGTCAGATGTTTACCTTGCATGTGGCCAACCCATGTTCGGTCCTCAGCACGCCATATGGTCCCCAGAGCCCCACCAGAAGCAGAAAGGATCTTGGAGCCAGGATTAAGCCCTGACCATTCCTGGGTGTGACCAAAAACAAAACAAAATAATTATAAACAAAATAATTACAATAATAGCTTTGGGGCTAGAGAGATAGTATGGGAATAGTAGTAGTAAAGTAAAGGCCCTCCCGTTGATCATCGATTTGCTCGAGCGGGCCCAGTAACATCTCCATTGGAGACTTTGTTGTTACTGTGTCTGGCATATCGAATACGTCACGGGGAGCTTGCCAGGCTCTGCCGTGCGGGCAAGATACTCTCGGTAGCTTGCCGGGCTCTCCAAGAGGGGCGGAGGAATCGAACTCGGGTCGGCCATGTTGGCTGCGTGCAAGGCAAACGACCTACCGCTGTGCTATCGCTCCAGCCCAGTATGGGAATAAGGCATTTATTTGCCTTGCATACAGCTGGCCCTGGTTCCATCTCCGTTGCCTCATATGGTTCCCCCAAGCACCACCAAAAGTAATCCATGAGCACAGAGACAGGAGTAAACCCTGAGCACAGATCACCTGGAGGGCTGGCCCATAGTCCTCTACCCCAACAACAAAAGCATAGGGAGGCTGGAGAGCTCAATGGGCCCATCACATGCTTTGGGGGAGGCTCAGCACAGCATGGACCCTCCCCCACAAAGCACCACCAGGAGTGGTCCCTAACCACTGCTGGCTGTGACCCCAAAACATAACAAATCAGCTTACAATAATCCTAATGCTGGGCCGAGAAGATACCCCAAAGGGCTTGACACGGGCCTTGCATGCTGGCCTTTGTGCGCATCTGCAGGACAGCACTAGACTGGCCCAATTTGTTGAAGTTTTTTCTAGAAACCACGCAATTTTTTTAACCTTTTTTTTTCTTCTTGATTTAGATTCTGTGATTTATAACTGTAGCATAGCGGGTAGGGTGTTTGCCTTGTATGTGTTTGACCTGGCCGACTCGGCCAACCAAGGTTTGATTCTTCTGCCCCTCATGGAGAGACTGGCAAACTACCAAGAGTATCTCTCCTGGCAAAGCCTGGCAAGCTCCCCATGATGTATTCGATATGCCAAACACAGTAACAAGTGTCACAGTGGAGACGTTACTAGGCCCCCTCAAGCAAATTGATGAGCAACAGGAGGACAGTGACAGTGACAGTGATTTATAACGGTTAATTATGCCTTCTCAGGCACTCAATCAAGCACCATTCCTGCCTGGCCCGATTTGGTCCCGCATCACCAGGCCCAAACATGGAATCATCAAGCCAATGTAGTTGGGTCAGTTATTGTAGGGAGTGATCCCCGGGCCCCACCTAAGGTCACCCTCACGTCAGAGTGTTATATTTTGGGTAGCATATCCTGCTACCCTCCAATCTAATCACACACAAAGAGCAATTAAATCGGGAAATAGGAGGAGAGGTGGAAAGATCTGGAAGCAGGCGTCCTGTTGCAGGGTTTTTGTTTCCTGCATTCATCTATTCATTCATCTATTTCCTAGCTCATGTTTGGTTTCACTTCTGCTTTTGTTTCTGAGAAAACAGATGTGCAAAGCATAGGCATGTTGGCAGGGGCAGTTACCGGCATGGTGGCTGGCGCGATGCTGATTGTCTTCTTAGTGTGGCTGCTGATCCGAAGGAAAGACAAAGAGAGATACGAGGAAGAGGAGAGACCCAATGAGATCCGGTAAAGCTCCCTCCCCAACCCCTTCCTCCAATAGGCTTCCTTTCTAGGACAATTCCATATGGACCAGCCCACACGGATGCCACGTCCTCAATGGACTATTCTGGTGTGTAAGGAGGCAGTCTGGGGATAGAAAATCTGTTTTTCTTGACATTACTGTGAAACCACCCACTAGAGAGGCCTTAAAAGCTGAACTTGGTGTCGGAGCGATAGTACAGCAGGTAGGAATTTGCCTTGCACATGGCCGACGGGGTTAAATCCCTGGCATCCCATATGGTCCCCCAAGCTCCACCATGAGTAATTCCTGAGTGCAGAGACAGGAGTAACCCCTGAGCATCACTGAGTGTAACCCAAAAAGAAAAAAAAAAGAGCTGAATTTTAGGAACTGGAGAGAGAGCACAGTGGGTAGGGCACTTGCTTTGCATGCGGTCAACCAGGTTCAATCTCCAGCTCCCTGTATGGGCCCTTGTACCCCACCAGAAGTGATTTCTGAGCACAGAACCAGGAGGAAACCCTGAGCACAGCTGGTGTGTGCCAAAGATTGAATAAGTAAATAAATAAATCAGAACAAAATTGGAGGAAGTCTGAGAGACAGAGAGAGGCCCAGAGGGTTGATTTCATGCGTTGGCTCCCAAGCACCACCCGTAAACAACAAAGAGGGAGGAAGTTCATCTTGTTCTTGATTTATTTCCGCTTAAAAAGGGCGTAGGACAGAGACTGCATGGCCCCTGGGCCATGACCGGGACCGGAGAATGATCACAGGTGTGCAAGTGGTCATCTTCCCCAGCACTTGGCGGACCCGGGGGCTAACACCCATTTTCCTAAGCCAAAACTAAACCTTTGTCAGTTGGTCAGGGCAGAGCTGCCCAGCTCCCTGGGGTCGCACCCTTCCATAGTTCTCAGGTCCCCAGCTTGAAGAATCTATTGGGAAACCTCAGGAGGAAGCAGCCACCCTCGGCTGATCAGCATTAAGATGTATCTTTGCAGGGGCTGAAGCAATAGCACAGCGGGTAGGGCTTTTGCCTTGCACTCTGTCGACCCAGGTTTGATCCCTGGCATCCCATATGGTCCCCCGAACACCGCCAGGAGTGATTCCTGAGTACAGAGCCAGGAGTCACTCCTGAGCCTCGCTGGGTGAGACCCCCCACCCACCCCACCCCCCAAAAAAGGAAAGAAAAATGATGTATCTTTACTTTCTTCTCCCCCTCCTCCTTTCCAGAGAGGACGCAGAAGCCCCCAAAGCACGCCTGGTGAAGCCCAGCTCCTCTTCCTCAGGCTCTCAGAGCTCCCGCTCAGGCTCGTCCTCCACACGGTCCACTGCAAATAGTGCCTCACGGAGCCAGCGGACACTGTCCACGGAGGCGGCGCCGCAGCCCGGGCTGGCCGGCCACGCGTATAGCATCGTGGGGACAGAGGTGCGGGGCTCGGAACCAAAGAAGGGGCACCATGCTACCCTGACCAAAGCCGAAACCACACCCAGCATGATCCCCAGCCAGAGCAGAGCCTTCCAAACCGTCTGAGGGAGAGTGGACAGGACTCCCGCGCCCCCTCTGAGCCAGGGTCCCAGGACTCTGCTGAGCTGCTGCAGCTCCGTCACCAGCCACACACCCCCTGGAACCAGGAGTGAGGTCACCACGTCGCAGCGAGCTTTGCATGGAACACAGCCAGAACACTTTTTCGGACGGGACACCCGACAAGACAGAGTGAAGCCCTTCATCTCTACAAAAGGCATCTCAGGGCGTCCTGGCACCAGAGCAGGGGAGAGCCGGAGTCTTAAACTGTGTTGGTGGACCGGGACCCCGGGTGTGAAAAGCTGGGGAAAGGGAAGTGAACACACTTAAAATTGTCACCTGAGATTTTTTTTTGTATCAGTATTTTGTTCACCGTTGTCAAGAAGAAATGAGGTGTTCACAAATTTTCTATGCATTTCTGCAAACCTAGTGGAAGATGATGTTTATTCAGATAGTCAAGCAGAGCCCACAGCCTTATATCACACCTCTCTGCACCTGGACTGGGGCTGAGAAACTTCGAGAAACTCCCAGAAAGGAACCACGTCTCTTTGATTCTGACTTGACTTCACTTATTCGCCATAGGCTTGGATAGTCATTTCAAGAGGAGTTGAAATCGTGGGGGATGGAAAATGATAGAGTTTCTCCCACTCTACTACTAATCTTTCTACTTATAGAGTACCTTTCTACTTATATTGTAGAATTACAAAAGGAGTTCAAAACATGTGACAGGGGACTGTGAAAACTTTTTTCTCGATGAATTTTAGAGGGCCACTGACAAATATCAGAAATACAGAAACTGGAGCGACCGTGGATTCTCCTTCCGATCAGATGATCGTGAGGCATAACCTGCTTGTCTCTGGAGCAAGGAAACATGCACTGTGACATTTCCCAGTGTCTTTAGAAAGAAGTTTCTAGAGAAGAGATTTTCACGGATGCCGAAAAGGCCATCCGACATAACATTCTCTTCTCTCTCAGATGAAACCAGGATTTCAAGAGTAGACTAGAAAGGGTGATTGGAATCTTGTTCTCTTCATATGTCCATGATTGTTATGAGGAAGTTTAGTATTGCACCGAACTGAGAGCTTCCTCCATTTATTTTAGGGAAAAGATCTGAACCTGGGACTTTTGACAATTCGAGGCCTTAAATTATCAAAAAGATCAGGGATTGCCAGCATTCCCCAGTGGCAATGAAAGTAAGTCATAATCAATCCCTCCTGAGAGGTAGACACAGAAATTCAGTATTTCCCCCCAGCTCAGCCTCCCAGGAAGTCTGCTTCCGGACTGGTAGGAAAGGAAATTAACATTCAGGGAAGAGCTGGGAGAATAACAATGGGTGGCAAGAGGGAGCTAGGTGAATGCCTGTTCCCGTTTTAATTGTCAGCAACTTCAAAAGAATGAGCAGAACCGCTGCGCCTGAATAGCTGATTGGAAGAGCTGATTCTTGGGGGGGAGAAGGAAAGAGTCTGAGAAATCAGCAGCTTCCAATATAGCAACTGCCTTTTCAATTGTTTTGACTACTGATAGTCAAAGTCACTCTACAGCAAGAATACTAAGTTTGAAATAACCCCTCAAGGAACCTAGAGCAAATGTGAACCTTTGGAAGTGCAGAATATATCGAGATTTAACAGGAGGGCTGAGGATGTGGGTCAGTGGTTAAAGCACATGCCTTGCTTGTTGGTCCCATCCCTGAAACTGCAAAAAATATATATATATATAATTTTTTTTAATGGGAGGCAGGCTATTGGGAAAAAAAGTAATGTGAGGCCGATTAGATATTACAGGGGCAACTTCCTATCTTCCACGTGACCAACTCCAGTTCAATCCTTGGCACCACAAAGGCCCAAGAATGTTCATGGTGTCACCATAGAGTCCAAGTAGCACCACATTCCTCACATTGAACTGTCGGCCTGCTTGGCTGAGAATTACTGGAGTGGTCCCTAGGCTGCCTGAGCACCACCCCCATCCCCCCCAACATATACCCAGAAAAGAAAAAGTAATGGTAACTATAAGGATTGAAAGCTTTGCTTATAAAAGTGAATCAGGGTGGGCCCCTCTGGCTGGGCTTGCAGAATTAACTTTGCTACTTTCTCTTTTCCTTAAATAAACACTACTTCAGCATCGAAATAATAACAGGAATCGGCTCCTTCAAGGAAAATGGATGATCAAGGAAAAAGCCCGTCTCTCTGGGTTTTCAGTTTCTATATCTAATTCTCACAATGGTGCCCTCACATAGTGCCAATATCGCTCCTTCTAAAATCCTTTAAGAAACAGCAGATTATCCTTGGGTGAAAGATGAGATCTGAATTTGTTCTGTTTTAGAAAGTGGGAAATAAAGAGACTTGCAGAAGTAAAGAATGCTTTCTGTTAGTTTAAGAGGGCTTGCATATTCGGAATGCTTCTTGTACTAACTAACACTGCCTCATTGTAAGATATAAACCCCTTCCTTACTCAACTTTTTATTCTTCTGGTAATATGCCTCTTGGCAACTTGTCACTTTTGCTCTGTGATTCTAAGAATTTTCATTTCTAAAGTACCTGAGCCCAACAAGTATTTTACGGAGGCTGCAGCTCTATCAACTTGCTTTTATCATTATTTGCTAACTTTGAATTTAAGATTTCCTGCCTAATGCTTTTGGAAGCAGGAACCAGTCCCCTTTGCATGAAAAGGAGGTTTAGATTATTAAATATGTTAGTTACTAGAAGACTAAAGTACCAGTTGAATATCCAGATCATCTTGGAAATCTGTTCACACTGGAAATCTAGACACACTAAAATCAATCACAGATCACTACCTTAGATCTGAGAAATTCTAAGAAATTGGACATGGAGCTGATAAACCCAATAAACTGATCTTTGCAATGATAGTTTTGCTCTTGGAGTCAGGGATTTGGGTTTATATGGACAAGCTCGGAGCATAGGATAAAGTTTGAGCCATTATTGATTTCCAGCCAGATTCCACTAACTTTGGCGGAAAAAATTAATTCAATCAATTTGATTCTTTAATTTGAAACAAACGGAGAGGATAAACAGTAGAAGAAAAAGTGTAGGAGGAAGAAACAGGTGGAATGATGTGGATATTTCGAGAATAACCCATTTCGATAAAATAAGCCAAACTTAAAACCTGTAAAATAATGAAACTGATGCCTTTGTTGTCACACTGTATAAAAACAATTTCAGAATGCTGTTGAAAAAAAAAAGACATAATTTTGCCTCATTTCTGGTGTTAAGCTGTTTATATTTTCATTCTAACTTCTAAGTTGCCTTGTAATTGGGACTGTATTTGATGGCAAAACCAAATATTTATTACAGATGCATCTGTGTCCGCAATTAAAAAAATAAATAAGTGAAAGTGATATTGGAGAGGCTGAAGGTCATAACCTGCTCTGGAGTGTTGTGTATTAGTTTGCTGCCAGCACAGAACTCAAGACTAAATAGGTAAAGGCCCTCCCGTTGATCGTCGATTTGCTCGAGCGGGCCCAGTAACGTCTCCATTGGAGACTTTGTTGTTACTGTGTCTGGCATATCAAATACTCTAGGTAGCTTGCCGAGAGGGGCGGAGGAATTGAACTCGGGTAGACCATGTTGGTCGCTTGTAAGGCGAACGCCCTACTGCTGTGCTGGAGCGATAGCACAGCGGGTAGGGCGTTTGCCTTGCACGCGGCCGACCCGGGTTCGATTCCCAGCATCCCATATGGTCCCCTGAGCACTGCCAGGGGTAATTCCTGAGCACAGAGCCAGGAGTAACCCCTGTGCATTGCCGGGTGTGACCCAAAAAGCAAGACTAAATGTGATCTATTATTTGCTGATTTTATTTACTCATATAGAAAGATTCACAAAGCAAGAAACTAATATACATACGAGAAATACCAAGTTCCTACCCTTCAGGAATTTATAAAATTAACAAATAAATATTTACCAGACAAGTATTTATGCCAAGGTAAAATGCCAACAGAAAATACCAACATGATTCAACCTGATTTGAAAAGAAGTAAAGATTAAAAGATTCAAATAAATCTGAAAAAAAAGCCATCCCAGGATAAAGACCAAGTACTCAGAAGGGTATTTAGTACCTAATAATGAAAATACTTATCAAGTATTGGTACTAATCGATATTGCCAGAGTGATAGTACAGCTGCTAGGGCATTTGCCTTGCACATTGACTGACCTGGGTTCAATCCTCAGCACCTCAAATGGTTCCCTGAGCCCACCAGGAGTGATCTCTGAGTGCACAGCCAGAAGCACCTCCAAGGTGACCCAAAAACAAATAGACTTTATCTTCTGCATTGTGAACCTTGGGCCTCAGACTCCACTGCAGTTTCTGCTATGGCACCCAAACTTTTCAAACTTTTACATCCTGAATGTCAGTTTTTTTTGTAGTGGGGGGAACATACCTGGCAGTACTCAGGGACTATTCTTGGGTCTTTGCTCAAGCTTCACTCCTGGAACCTTATGTGATTCCAATAATCGAACCAGGATTAGCTGCATTAAGACAAGTACCCTAAATACTGGACTATTGAATCCTGAATGCTTTTTTTTTTGAAATTTGGGATCATATTCAACAGGCATCAGGGGCTATTCCTGGCCCTGCGCTTAGAAGTGACCCCTGGTAGTACTTGGGGAACTATATGGTGAAATCTGAGATTTGAACCAGGGCTAGCCACATGCAAAGTAAATACCTTTCCCCTGTAATATTTGATTTCTCTGCTCCCTGAATGTGTTTGAAATCCTCTACTTATAAAGAGATGGGGACATGACATTCATCATATCCTGAGTTATGCATCACTATCACTATCACCCCATTGTTCTTCAATTCGCTTGAGCAGGCCCAGTAACGTCTCTATTCGTCCCTGTCAAGTGCAAGGGTAGCCCCCAAGTCAAGCCCGAGGTCCCCTCACTCAGGCATCTGGGTGCTACCCCCATCACAGAGCAGGTACAGCCCTCCCAGAAGCCCCCAAATGAACAAACTTCTTTCTTTCTTTCTTTCTTTCTTTCTTTCTTTCTTTCTTTTTCTTTTTCTTTTTTTTTTTTTGCTTTTTGGGTCACACCTGGCGATGCTCAGGGGTTACTCCTGGCTTTGCACTCAGGAATCACTCCTGGCGGTGCTCGGGGGACCATATGGGATGCTGGGAATCGAACCTGGGTCGGCCCCGTGCAAGGCCCTACCCGCTGTGCTATTGCTCCAGCCCCCCAAGTGAACAAACTTCTTGCTGATCCAGGTTCTACCCCCAGCACTCCTTATGATTCCTGGAGCCCCGTCAACGTGACCCCTGAGCCCAGAACCAGGAGTAAACCTTAAGCATTGCAGGGTTGGGCCCAAAAAACAAACAAAAAATTTAACCTTTTTGGGAGATATAGGCGGGTATGATATTCTCAGTAGCCTACTGGGTTCTCTGAGAGTGAGAACTAGAGAATAAGAGGTCACGCATCTGCAAATGAGGCCGTGCGCTTCCGGGAGCTTGGTTTTATAGTCTCTGGATGGCTGTTGATGGGGTTACATGGCAGTTGGTGGGTGTAACTGTCTAGCTACTGAAAGGTGGGGGAGCTGGGTGAAGGAGGCCCAGTCCCGAACCGAGTAGGCTTGGAGATATGTGTATATGTATATATGTATATTTATAAACTATGAATCACTACGTAATAAGAAGGTAGTCCTGGACGAGACAGATAGTACACAGGTTAAGGCACTTGCCTTGCACCAGGCTGACCTGGTTTGATCCCCAGCACTGCATATAGTCCCCAAAGCACCACCAAGAATGACCCCTGAGCACAGCTGCATAACCCCAAAAGTCAAACAACTAATAAATAAACAGAAGGCTGGAGTGATAATACAGTAAGGCTCTTCACTTAACACACATTGACCTGGGTTTGAGCTCCAGCACCCCATATGATCCAGAGCCAAACCAGGAAGGGTCTCTCAGTACTGCCAGATGTTGCCTCAAAACCAAATATATGAAGAGGTAGACAGAAGCTCTGAATTGTTCTATTTATTTATCTTCGTTTTGTTTTGTTTTGGGGCCATACCTAACAATGCTCACGGATTACTTCTGGCTCTACACTCGGGAATTAACCTGGCTGTGCTCAGAGGACCATATGGAATACTGGGAATCAAACCCAGGTGGGCTGTATACAAGGCAAGAGGCTTACCTGCTGTACAATTGCTTCAACCCCTGAACCGTCCTATTTATCGAGAACATAGTCAAGAGCTGGTGTAGCACCAAAACCAGAAGACTAAACATTTTAAAGATTTGTGTGCATGTGTGCATGTGTGCGTACGTGTGTGCGTATGTGTATGTGTGGGTGTGTGTGTGTTGTATGCCTGGGATCAAGCTTAACCTCACACATTTGAGGCAGGTGTTTTACCAACGAGCCACATCCCTGAGCCCTGGAACACATTTTGAGAGTGACCAGAAAGAAAGGTTATTTTGCCTTTTCCCCCCATATTGTGAATTTTTTTTTTTACCTATTTCACTGTCTAAAGCATGTAGCATGATGGCTTCATTTAGATATATTTTGCTTTTTTTTTTTTTTAAGGTCACACCTGGCGATGCACAGGGGTTACTCCTGGCTCATGCACTCAGGAATTACTCCTGGCGGTGCTCGGGGGACCAGATGGGATGCTGGGAATCGAACCCAGGTCAGCCACGTGCAAGGCAAATGCCCCACCCACTATGCTATCGCTCTAGCCCCCCCCCAATTTAGATATATTTTGAAATGACTATCTTTTTTTTTTTTTTTTGCTTTTTGGGTCACACCCAGTGATGCTCAGGGGTTACTCCTGGCTCTGCACTCAGGAATTACTCCTGGCGGTGCTTGGGGGACCACATGGGATGCTGGAAATCGAACCCGGGTCGGTCATGTGCAAGGCAAACACCCTACCCGCTGTGCTGTCACTCCAGCCCTACATCCTTTCATGTGTGACACTGATCTCAGGATTTCCGATACACACAGATACGTGTGTATATAGTTTAAAAAAAATTTTTTTAATAGGTCACTCTCTGGGACTACCTCAGATAATGTAGATTCAGAGGACAAACTTAGACCTCAGCCATGCTAGGCATGTGCTCTGTCTCTTGAGGTAGAGCTAGGGGTTAACCCTGGGTCTCCTGCATGCAGGCACACATTCCATCACTGAGGGCCTTATGCTCTGCCACTTACCCTACCTGCAATTCTTCCAGATTCCTGTTCTACTTATTTGGCAGGGCTCAGAGGACATACCCTGCAGTTCTCGGTGCTCAGGGGTCATTCCTGGCAGTACCTAGACCAGGCAGTTCCAGGAATTGAACCCAGGCCTCCTGCTTACAAAACACGGGCTGCCTGAGCTCTGGGTGTCTTTACTCACTACTATGGGGGAGGGGGTCCCCCAAGCCAGCAGAGTTGGGTGGGTTCTGGTTTCCATCATCATCGGTGGGTAAATTCTCATAGGCTTTTCAGACATTAGTTATAAGGGCTGCAAAGTGCGATGCCATGGAGATACTTGAGAGATTTGAGAGAGAGATTTGAGTGGGGAACGGTGCGAGAGCTGCGTGTGTTTCTAGATATCCTCTTGCAGTGTAGCTAATAAAAAAGACCCAAGAATCTAGAAGTAAAACAACTCAGCTTGACTGAGTCAACTCTCAGCTTGACTCAGTCAACTGTTTATCTTCCCACCAATAACATCTCTGAATCTCATTCTTTTCTCCTAACGTAAATCTAATCAATAATTATGATTGAATACTCTGAATATTTTTTTTATTTTTTTAAGTATAACAGGCTTTATTTGGGAGTTTTGAGGAAGGAGTGAGAGAGAGAGAGGGAGTGGAGGAGAGAGAGACGCGCTCAGAGGAGAACACAGGCTTCTCCCGAGTGGAGAGAAAACCACAGTCCACATCTCAAAAGGGGAAATGTGGGTGACACACGTGCTCGGGCGACACATGTACTCGGCAGCAACACGTGGGCACAGGCAAGCACGCGGGCTCGAGCAGCACATGCACAAATAATCTCGATCATCTTGAATTATCTTCCTGGCTCCAGAGAGAAGTGTCTTGAAGATAAACACACAGATGAAAGCTCTTTGAACAGTTGTAAAAGCATCATATAAAATTCACCTTCTGTCCCCGCGAGCAGGTTCAAAGGGCAGGAGCACATGCTTTGCATATAGCTGGCCCAGGTTAGACCCCAAGTCAAGCCCGAGGTCCCCTCACTCAGGCATCTGGGTGCTACCCCCATCACAGAGCAGGGACAGCCCTCCCAGAAGCCCCCAAATGAACAAACTTCTTTCTTTCTTTTTTTTTTTTTTTTGCTTTTTGGGTCACACCTGGCGATGCTCAGGGGTTACTCCTGGCTTTGCACTCAGGAATCACTCCTGGCGGTGCTCGGGGGACCATATGGGATGCTGGGAATCGAACCTGGGTCGGCCCCGTGCAAGGCCCTACCCGCTGTGCTATTGCTCCAGCCCCCCAAGTGAACAAACTTCTTGCTGATCCAGGTTCTACCCCCAGCACTCCTTATGATTCCTGGAGCCCCGTCAACGTGACCCCTGAGCCCAGAACCAGGAGTAAACCTTAAGCATTGCAGGGTTGGGCCCAAAAAACAAACAAAAAATTTAACCTTTTTGGGAGATACTTGTGAAAACTCTAATCAGTATTTTCCCAGCAAGGTAAATATGTAAAGAAAAAATTGGGGGGTGCTGGAGTGCATGCTTTGTATGACAAAGGCGTGGGTTCATTCCCTGGGTGGTCCCCATCAACACCGGGCTGAACTCTAAGCCACAAAAGGAAAATCTTTTTACTTTGGTTTGGAGTTTGGGCTACACCACAAACTGCTCCAGGCTTACTCCTGGCTCTGCACTCACAGATGATTTCTGGCAGGGCTTGGGGACTGCATCTGGTAGGAGGACAGCCCCGGGGCTGACTGAGTGCAAGGCAAGTGCCCTACTCATTGAATCCTTGGTCTGGTCCTTTCATTTATTTATTTTTTGGGTCACATTCCCACAATGCTCAGGGGACCATTTGGGATGCCAGGGATCCAACCAGGGTCAGCCATGTGCAAGGCGAATGCTCCACCCACTGTACTATCACTCTGGCCCCCAGATGCCCTCCTAAGCACTGCTATGGGGATGTTTGGGCAGGGGCCAGCAGTTCCCCAAACAGATCTCAGTTCCTTGGTCACGAAAAACAACACACTTGACTCTTGAGCCATCTCCCCAGTATGGAAAATTCTGGTTTTTTTTTTTTTTAATCAGTCTCTGGGTTTTACCGGGGCACAGTGCTTAGCCATTCATTCATTACGGTGTTTTTCACACAATCTGGACATCTTTCTAAATCCAGCCATGCCCTTAAAAAAAAATGTTAGCCCCCAAATGTCTTTTCACCTACCTATGCTTACTTATTGGTTAATAGGAACATAAGTGCCCCGCCTTTTGCACGGAACACGTGGCTAAGCTAGCAGAGAGAGAGAGAGAGAGAGAGAGAGAGAGAGAGAGAGAGAGTGTGTGTGTGTGTGTGTGTGTGTGTTTGGGGTGGGGGGTGGGGGTCTTTGGAAGGACAAAGCCCTGAGCACGCTCAAAAGACCGAAGCGCGAGCCCTTCAGCCGCCAGGCCTCTCCAGGGGCCCTTGTTTAGTTCCTGCGGAAAAAAGTCAAGGCAGGGGAAGGAATTGACTCATGGTGCTGAAAATAAAAGGCTCAGAAAGGACACGGGGTAACCCGAACCTCGCCTCCCCCGGCCCTCCCCGCTGCCCTTCCCGGCAGCCCGGGGCGGCGAGGGGAGGGGAAGAGGGAAACAGCCCAGCGCTGCGGGAGAGGAGAGGGTTGCAGAGAGCTGGCGGGCGAGCTGCGCCCCGGGGTCGGGCCTGTATTCCCCGAGCTTCCACGGAGGGAGGGGGGCGCAGAGAGCTGGGGGTGCCCGGAGCCTGGGCCTGTATTTCCTGAGCTTCCACGGAGGGAGAGGGATGCAGTGGAGCCGGGCCCGTATTCCCCGAGCTTCCATGCTGCGAGGGGGATGCAGAGAGCTGGGGGTGCGCAGACGGAGCTGGGCTTGTATTTTCCGAGCTTCCGTGCTGGGGGGGGGGGGGGGCGGTGCAGAGAGGTGAGGGTGCGCAAACGGAGCTGGGCCTGTATTCCCCGAGCTTCCATGCTGGGAGGGGGGTGCGTGCCCGGAGCCCGGGCCTATATTTCCCCAGCTTACATGCTGCGAGGGGGGTGCAGAGAGCTGGGGGCGCGCATATGGAGCCGGGCCTGTATTCCCCGAGCTTCCACGGAGGAAGGGGGTGCAGAGAGCTGGGGGTGCGCACTCCTAGCTCAGGCTTTTATTCCCCCAAGCTCCCAAGGAGGGAGGGGGATGCAGAGAGCTGGGGGTGCGCGCCCGGAGCCCCGGGTCGGGTCTGTATTCTCCGAGCTTCCATGGTGCGACCCCCACCCCCCCAGGCCTTTTAGGCCGGAGGGGGGGGCACCCGCTGCAGTACCGAGCTCTAGATCGTCTCTGGGGTCCAGGCCGACCCCGAGCGACTCCCTCCAGGGCCAGAACCAAGGCGGGGGGTCGGCTCTGCCCCAGGCCCGGCCGGCTGAGAAACGTGGGGCCCGCGGAGGCCGGCCGGGGTGGGGGCGGGGAGGGAGGAGCGCGACAACCTTCGCGGCCATTTTGTCCTGGCCGCACTTCCGCCTTCTCCCCGCCGCGCCCGGGCCCCCCGCGCTTCCTGCCCGGGCGCCCGCAGAGCCGGAGCGCGGCATGGGCCGCCGCCATTGGCCGGTTCCCGCTTAGCCCGCCCCCTCCCGCCCCCTCCTTCCGTCCGCGCCGGGGCGGCGCCTGCGCAGAAGCGGACGCTCCCTCCCCTCCCCCATCCACGGCGCCCGGGGTGACTGAGGACTCCCGCGCGCGGGCTCGGCCGGCCCCACCCTCCCTTTCCCCGGGGCTAGTTCGGAGAGCGGGGGCGGGAATGAAAGTTCCAGAACCCGGCGGCGACTGCGTCATGGCGGGGCGGGGGCAGGGGAGCGGGGAGGCGGGAGGGGGCGGGGCTCTGGCGGGCCCGGGCTGGCCATTGGTGTCGCGGGCAGGAGCGGCGCGCCCATTGGCTGGAGGGCCGTGACGGACAGCCGGCAGGGGCGGACCCCTTCTGGAAGGTTCTGAGGCAGAGTATAAGAGCCTGGGTGGCGGGCGGAAACCGGTCTCATTGAACGCGGCGGCTCCCGAGAGGTCTGCAGTTTTTTATTTCCTCCGCCACGCAGCCGGGCCTCCACGCGCGGTAAGGCCGCGGCCCGGGGAAGCGAGGAGGGTAGCGGGAGGAGGGTGCGGTGCGGCGGGGACCTGAGGTTATGTCGGGGCGGGCCGCGGGGCGCCCTAGGCCGCGGGGGCTCGGGAGCAGGGCCGGGCCCGCGCCCTGACTCTAGTGGGGGCGGCCGTCTCCGCCCTCGGGGTGCGGGAAGCGGGCCAGGGGCCGCGGCCCGGAAAGAGGAAGCGGCGCGGACACGCGCGCGGCCTTGGGGCGCGGCCCCGGCTCCCTTCCCCCCCGACCACGTGGCCCGGCGCGGCGCAGCCCCCGGGGCAGAGGCGCCCGCAGCCGGGGCGGGCCGCACGGTTGGCACGGCGACTCGTGCTGCGGCGGGGTGGCGCGGTAGGCCTGGGGGAGGCGCCCCGCGGAACGTCTGCGGGAGGAGGAGGGAGGGGAGCACGCAGGCGTCCTGCGGGAGGGCCCGAGGAAACGGATAGACCTCCCGGCGCCGCCTCAGCGTCTCTTCTCCCCCTCCCCTTGCAGCAACCATGTCGAAGGGACCTGCGGTTGGCATCGATCTCGGCACCACCTACTCGTGCGTGGGCGTCTTCCAGCACGGGAAAGTGGAGATCATCGCCAATGACCAGGGAAACCGAACCACCCCCAGCTACGTCGCCTTCACCGACACGGAGCGCCTGATCGGCGATGCCGCCAAGAACCAAGTGGCGATGAACCCCACCAACACGGTTTTCGGTGAGCGGCCGGCCGTCAGGTCGTCTGGCGATGGGGGTCCCGTCCGTGGGCCAGGAGCACGCTCGGGGGTAGGGAGCCGCTCGCTTAGTCTGCGTGCGGGCCCCGGGGAAGGTCTGAGAATAGAAAGTGACGTTTAACATGCTCGGGAGGCCGAGGTTCGTGCTTTTTATAGCGGCAGGCTAGAACCGAGATGTCTCAGGACAAACCAAAGGGGCGACTTTTTCCATGGTTAGGCCCGCGGGCGACTGAGTTTGGGAATGCAACTGGGTTTTGGGTTTCCAAAGACGAAAAGGTCTCGAAGATGGTGGGGTTTGTCCTTGCTACAGATGCCAAGCGCCTGATTGGACGTCGGTTTGATGATGCTGTTGTCCAGTCTGATATGAAGCACTGGCCCTTCATGGTGGTGAATGATGCAGGCAGACCCAAGGTCCAAGTAGAATACAAGGGAGAGACCAAGAGCTTCTATCCAGAAGAGGTGTCTTCCATGGTTCTGACAAAGATGAAGGAAATCGCAGAAGCCTACCTTGGGAAGGTAAGTGGCAGAGCCAGTCATTGGGGTTGAAATGTTAGCATCGGGTTTGGTGCAAACAGCACGGGGCCCTTCTATTGCATAAGGCACAGTAGGTGAGGGACCCTTCCGAAGAAGTCATCTTACTGATGATTTTCTCTTCCAGACCGTCACCAATGCTGTTGTTACAGTTCCTGCTTATTTCAATGACTCTCAGCGTCAGGCTACCAAAGATGCTGGAACCATTGCTGGTCTTAATGTACTTAGGATCATCAATGAGCCAACTGCTGCTGCTATTGCCTATGGTTTGGACAAGAAGGTAGGTTCATTCCATGCAGACCTAGTTCCAGAGTTGGGCCATTCAAAATGGCGGAGACATTTATACACTTGTGTTCTAATGCAGGTTGGAGCAGAAAGGAACGTGCTGATCTTTGACCTCGGAGGTGGCACTTTTGATGTGTCTATCCTCACTATTGAAGACGGAATCTTTGAGGTCAAATCAACAGCTGGAGACACCCACTTAGGTGGGGAAGATTTTGACAACCGAATGGTCAACCATTTTATTGCAGAATTCAAGCGAAAGCATAAGAAGGACATCAGTGAGAATAAGCGGGCTGTCCGTCGTCTGCGCACTGCTTGTGAGCGTGCAAAGCGTACCCTTTCTTCCAGCACCCAGGCCAGTATTGAGATTGATTCACTGTATGAAGGCATCGACTTCTATACCTCCATAACCCGGGCACGATTTGAAGAGTTGAATGCTGATCTGTTCCGAGGCACTCTGGACCCAGTAGAGAAGGCCCTTCGTGATGCCAAGCTGGACAAGTCCCAGATCCACGATATTGTCCTGGTGGGTGGTTCTACCCGTATTCCCAAGATTCAGAAACTTCTTCAGGACTTCTTCAACGGAAAAGAACTCAACAAGAGCATCAACCCTGATGAGGCTGTAGCATATGGTGCAGGTAATGTTCCGGAACATTTCATACTAAATAGGCAACTCCTTAGGGGGCATACAGAAAGTTTCCGCTATGATGAGTGATTATTAAACATTCGTAGTTTCCACCAAAAGTTTAGCTAATGATGGCCTAACTTCCTTGGATGTCTGAGCGAGAGATGACTATAAAGCAAATTCCAACTTATGTTTTCTGTTTCCTAAAACTGCGTTTTTCTGTTTCAGCTGTGCAGGCTGCCATTCTTTCTGGAGACAAGTCTGAAAATGTTCAGGACCTGCTTCTGTTGGACGTCACTCCTCTCTCCCTTGGCATTGAAACTGCTGGTGGGGTCATGACTGTCCTCATCAAGCGCAATACCACCATTCCTACCAAGCAGACACAGACCTTCACCACCTACTCTGACAACCAGCCTGGTGTGCTCATTCAGGTACTTTCCTACTATCCTTTGATTTTACAAAGCAAGGTGTAAGGCATCTCGCTGTGATGATGGATTCCACAACCATTCGTAGTTTCCACCAGAAATCTTTATGTTGGCAACTCCTTCCTTGGATGTCTGAGCGAACAGTCTTGATGGGGTTGTCTAAATGCAGCACAAAAACCCTTGTATAATAGTAATTTCTTTCTTACAAGGTTTATGAAGGTGAGCGTGCTATGACCAAGGATAACAACCTGCTTGGCAAGTTCGAACTCACAGGCATCCCTCCTGCTCCCCGTGGTGTTCCTCAGATTGAGGTCACTTTTGATATCGATGCCAATGGTATCCTCAACGTGTCTGCTGTGGACAAGAGTACAGGGAAAGAAAACAAGATCACCATCACTAATGACAAGGGTAAGCTTGGTCTTGTTTTTCATTGGGTGGCAACAAGTTGTGTTTCCAAATGATTAAGATCACTCTTTAATTGGAAGGTATTGTAGGTCTTAAAGGTCAAAGTGTTCATTACTTACCTGCCTGAAAGATGTGTTTGTCTGCACACAGGCCGGTTGAGCAAGGAGGATATTGAGCGTATGGTCCAGGAGGCTGAGAAGTACAAAGCTGAAGATGAGAAGCAGCGAGACAAGGTGTCTTCCAAGAATTCCCTTGAATCCTATGCCTTCAATATGAAGGCAACAGTTGAAGATGAAAAACTTCAAGGCAAGATTAATGATGATGACAAACAGAAGATTCTTGACAAATGTAATGAAATCATCAACTGGCTTGATAAGAACCAGGTTTGTTCCTTTACAAATTTGAATCTTAAGCAGCTTAGTAAAATTCACAAGTCCATAGTAGGGTCACAGTGATGAATGGTTCCAAAACATTCGCGGTTTCCACCAGAATTCCAGGTGTTGGCAACTACCTTCCTTGGATGTCTGAGTGACTCAGTATATAAACATGGCTAGCTTTACTTGAATGATATGGGTGCTCTTGGTTACCTTGGAAATTAAACTATATTTGTTCCTTTCCAGACTGCTGAGAAGGAGGAATTCGAACATCAACAGAAAGAGCTGGAGAAAGTCTGCAACCCCATCATCACCAAGCTGTACCAGAGTGCAGGTGGCATGCCAGGAGGAATGCCCGGTGGTTTCCCTGGTGGTGGTGCTCCTCCCTCTGGTGGTGCCTCCTCTGGGCCAACCATTGAAGAGGTTGATTAAGCCAGCCTGAACATAGACGCATATATATAGCATTGTTCCACACAAAACATTGAAGGACCCAAATTTGTAGCAAATTCCGTGGCAATTAAGTTGTTAATAGTAATAAGTTAACCGGGCATTCTTGATACTTGAATATGGAACATTCTTGCACAGGGAAAAACAAACGGCAACAAACATTGCACTTTATAAGCACTGTATCGTGAGTGGAAAATGCAATGTCTTAAATAAAACTATTTAAAATTGGCACACTACAAGTTTCTGGACTTTAATTAAGGGACAGTAGGGGGTGGGAGTCCTTCAGTAACAAATTTAAGGCTTTGAATTGATGGTGAGCAGTGGGAAAGACAAAGCTGCTAGTTTCTCTCCATATCCAGTTAGGGGTGAAGTTACAGTACTGACTGAACTAGATCCCAGCAACTTGGCATTCCCAGCATTAGTGAATTACTGGAAATGGGATAAAAGAGTAGCTTGAAACCTGAAATGCTGCTTAGCAAATTAAAATTAAAGGTTTAAGAGAAACTAGTGTTCTGGTACAAGGGTAATAGTGAAGAGGTGGTTGTAAAATTTGGGTTTATGCTTAACACTTCAGTCTTGGCCTTTGAGAGGACATGGTTTTAGTGTATAGTTGAATGTGTTGGTAAGTTTGGTAAACCTGTTAAGGGGAAGGCTTTTAACTAGAACATGCAAAATTTGTCCCCATGTTAAAATTCCCGGTTTTCAAATCTGTAGGGGTAACTTCAAGCAAAATGGGCTAAGTTGGTACAGCTCTGCAAGTTGGTGATAAACTGTAAGATAAGTGGCAGCGTTTGTCCCATTAGCTACACATAGCAGACATTTAGAATTAAGACAGGAAATAGCCAGGAGTTGAGTGTATTAAAGGAAGCAGTTTCACAATGGCTCAAGTTACCTGTGGGTATTTGGTGTAGATGTTTAGGGTCCAGATGCGGTTTTTGCCCCTTAATTGCTAGTATACCGCCCTATTTTGCTTCCTGCAGATGTAGTTTGGTCCTAATGCACAAGTTGAGCTTAAATGCAACTTTGAGGAGCTGGAGAAGTAAGATAGCATAGCGTGTAGGCCCTTGCACACAGATGACCCGGGTTCGATTCCCAGCATCCCATGTGGTCCCCTGAGCACCACCAGGAGTAACTCGAGTGCAGAGCCGGAAGTACCCCCTGTGCATCGCCGGGTGTGACCCAAAAAAAAAACTTTATGAGATACCTAGGTTACTGCTAAGGGCCAAGTTCTGCAGGTTGCATTAAGAAGGACAATTTGGTGAAATCCTTTGCCGGTCTGTACCACTGGGCTTTTCCTGATGGAGCCAATTCAGTTTAGACTATTTTCCCCTTACCATTTCTCATAACTTAGAAGGAATAGTGATTAAGTGGTCTAGAATGGAGAAAAGTTACTAATGAGTTGCAGGGAAATTGGATTGTAAAAGGAAGATTTTTTTAGTGGTTTGTCAAAGTTTCTGAAAGTATTCAGTGGATTTGGAGAGGGGCAAGAAATCACTAAGAAGGCCTGTTACATCCTATAGGGCCAGAGTGCTCAAAAGGGCAGGAGCTTAAGTTTTGTTTGACAGTCAAGCCTAAATAACAACCTCTGGCACTGCATTGGTCCCCATCTCAAAGCACCACTAGGAGCCACCCCTGAGCTGTGGCTAGAATAGGACTCTCCTCACCTTCCAGTATAGCACTCAGTATAGCCCCCCAATACAAAACAACTTTCAGTGTTACCTGAGTAGTGTTCAGATTTTCCTGATACTCGTTGGGTTTTGAGCTTACAGCTTTCCACTGCACATTTTTTGGATTGCTGAGTTTCAGAGTTCACTGGGGTTTTAGACCCCTATTTTCTGTCTTAAATATTTTGGGGTGGGGGCAAGGTTGGACCAAGCCCAAGTTCTGATCTGGAATGTCTTCTGTGATAATGTGGGGAACAAGTGATGCTGTGGAGTCACCCACATTCGGCCACGTGCAAGGCAAATTTTTTAGTACCTTACCCAATTAAAAATTTTTTTTGGTTTGGGGCCACATCCGTTGGTGTTCAAGGACTACTCCCCTTTTGGTGATCAGAGGTCCTTGCACTGTCTGTGATTAGCTGTCTATTGCCCTGGGGCTCTCAATTCAGTGCTCTCACACTTGGGCTTCAGGGCTTGAAGGTATTGCCTCTACTTCTCTGACTGGGGACTCACTAACAGGTGCTCACATACAACTGTAGTACCCCAGAGATGACACCCTTGTGATGCCTGCAACTATGCTATGACAATCCATGGGTATAGATCACATTCAAAGATGGGGGAAGGGGCAGGGGCTGGAGAGAGAGTACAGGGTTTTCCTTGCATATGGCCAGCAAAGCACCCCATTTTAGTCCCTTGAGCATCACCGGCAGTAATTTCTGAGTGCAGAACCAGGAGTAACGCCTGGTCATCGTCCGGTATGGCCTTCAAGCAACAAGAATGCAAGGGAGCTCCAGAAAGATCTCAGGCCTGAAGTTCAATTTTATCTTCAGTTCCAGCAATGAGCCATCTTGGGCCCTTAAAAATAAACTGTCCAATCATAGCAATACATTAACTTGCTACAATATTGGTATATAATTTTTTAATTGTAAAAGAAAATGAACATATAAATAATCCTTTGCTCAAATCCTTTGCTATGAGGATTCAGACCCTGTGCTTTTATATAGGAAAATCTTTTGGATTCTGTTAGGGTGGAAAGCAGTGGCTGGGTTGGTACACACTTAACGAAGCTGACGATTTTTATTTCTATTTTTTTTTTTTTTTTTTTTTTTGCTTTTTGGGTCACATCTGGCGATGCATAGGAGTTACTCCTGACTCTGCACTCAGGAATTACACCTGGTGGTAGCTCAGAGGACCATATGGGATGCTGGGAATGGAACCGGGTTGGCGGTGAGCCAGGCAAACGCCCTACCTGCTGTGCTATCTCTCCAGCCCCTATTTCTGTTCTTTATCTGAATGTAAGGACATCTCTCTCCACCAGGTGGCAGTAGCTATTTAGAAAACAGCTACAAGGGTCGAGGAACCTGCTGGAACTAAGATTGCCTAGCTGGGAAGTATTAAAAAAATGGTTGGGTAAGGAAGTCAGCCTCAAAATAATTCACATTCACAGTCCAGGCAAAACATTCCTAGCTGAGTAAGTTGGGCAAATTGGCCTATTTTCGTATTCCTTTGAGAAGAGATCTGAATACTTAGGGAGAGGCGTGGGGGAAAGTGGAGCCAGGAAGGGTAGGGGAGAGAGAGAGGGAGGGAGACCGATTTGAACATAGAGGGAAAAAAATCTCAGTGGGAATTGTCTTTCCTGGTTATTCTCAGTGTCGACCCTGTGCCATTCCCTCGTCACCCTGAGCTTCCCCCTCTGAGAGTCCTCACATTTGTATTGGAGTTCTTCAAAACTTGGCACCCCAGGAGTAAAGATACACACACTGTTGCAACCCCATGCCTGGTGCAGTATGTGTCGGATGAGTGAGAGGACGAAGCAGGCACACTAGAGGTGCAGAATGTGTCCCTTTGGGTTTTCTGATTTGCTCTTGGTAAATGGTTCAGGGACGGCACCACGTGTGGCTCCCTTAAGCCCTGCCAGGAGTGATCCCTGAGCACAGAGCCAGGAGGAAGCCCGGAGCACAGCTGGGTCTGATAAAAAAAAATTAAATTAAACCGGAAAAATCATTTTTAAGAAGTGATGACATGGTGGTCGCTGTTGCTCATGGTCAGATCTCTGCTAGACTTGTTCCCTGCGGAACTGGAAAGACCGCGTTCAAGTTGTGTGAGATGAAGAGGGAGTCAGAAAGCTAGGAGTAACTCCAGCTGAATGAACGTTAGCAATAACAGAACACCCAAAGCCGTCAGCCTGAAGGATCACTGGATCCGTCAGGTTGGCCATGAGACCTGAGCATCAGTGGGGTGAGACGGGTACGGTGAGACAGACAGTCACAGCCTGGGGCCTTCTGAGGAAGATGGACCACTCCTGCTCAGAACGTACGGGCAGTGCAGCCGGCACCAGGGCCCCAAGGAAGCCTACAGTTAAGGGATCAGGATAGAATTTATTCAATACCATGTGTGGTCCATAGTCTACTTTCAGCACGCATCTCCCATCCCGAGCGAGCCCTCCAAGCATCATTTACTTAGTGGTCCCTTCTCTATCCCAGCTGCCTTTCCCTCAGCATGTGAGGCCGGCTTCTAAGCTGTGGAGCGATCCTCCTGGTCCTTCTCTACTACCCTTGGGTGTTAGTCTCCCATTATGTTACTTTCTATTCCACAAATGAGTGCAGTCATTCTGTCTGTCCCTTTCTTTCTGACTCATTTCACTTAGCATGATACTCTCATGTAAGTTGGTCTACTTACGTGAAAATTTCATAATTCCATTCTTTCTAACAGCTGATAGTATTCTAGTATTCTATGTGTGTATGTACCAAAGTTTCTTTAACCAGTCATCTGTTTTTGGGCACTCGGTTTTTTTTTTATAATTATTATTTTTTTAACTGTTGTGTACCTATTTTTTATCTTTATTTTTATTTATTTATTTATTTATTTTTATTGAGACAGACACCATGAGGTAAAGTTGTAGATTTACAAATTTTGTGCTTGGGTTTCAATTATACGATGATCAAATACTCAATCCTCCACCAGTGCCCATTTCCCACCACCACGATGACTGGGTAAAGAAACTTTGGCACTCAGGTTTTTTTTCCAGATTCTGGCTGTTGTAAATAGTGCTGCAATAAACATACAAGTGCAGAGGTCATTTCCACTGTTTTTTTTTTTTTTTAATAGCACTGTAGCACTGTCCTCCCGTTGTACATCGATTTGCTCGAGCGGGCCCAGTAACATCTCCACTGTGAGACTTGTTACTGTGTTTGGCATCTCGAATACGTCACGGGGAGCTTGCCAGGCTTTGCCCTGTGGGCGAGATACTCTCGGTACCTTGCCTGGCTATCCGAGGGGGGCGGAGGAATCGAACCCAGCTGTGCTCAGTCTTCCTCCCGGCTCTGTGCTCAGGGATTACTCCTGGCAGGGCTTGAGGGAGCCACACGTGGTGCCATTCCTGAACCATTACCAAGAGCAAATCAGAAAACCCAAAGGGACACATTCTGCACCTCTAGTGTGCCTGCTTCGTCCTCTCACTCATCCGACACATACTGCACCAGGCATGGGGGTGCAACAGTGTGTGGGGGAGATATAACCCGCTAAAGCAAGAGTAACAGAAAGAAAAAAAATAGACCCGTTGTACTTCCT